GGTACAAAGGAAAAGGGGAGTACTCCCTTCGTTTTTTCGCTTTGAATATTAGATTTATCTTAAGTCAAGTAGTTGTAAACCCTTAGAGCATCTACAACTGAACCCCATACCCGCCCAAAATGCCTTGGCGGGCTGCCCGGTCAGTGTACGGACGAAAAATTGCTACCCGGTTGGGCTCCTCATATTCGGCCCAAACGCCTCGACTGACCGACGCTCTCCATACCCAACCGATATCTGGGGCAGTTATAGGGATGCTCGGACGCACTCGCCATGTCGGGCTGACTGTTAGGACCTACGCCAATTCGCCCATATCTGCCCCTCCTAGCCTGACCAACCCTCTCCTCTTCTCCGTTGGCCCTCGTCCGCACAGCCGCCACAGGAGTTCTGCCGCCACCCTTGATCCGTCGCCATCCCCAACCTAGGGTTTCGTCACCGGAGGCCGCAACCCACATTGTCGCCGGCCAGGCCACAACTGGTCAAGGTCGCCGCCACCGGAGGCCGCCTTGGTACATCCAACTCCCCCATATGTACACCTCGCGCTCTACATGTTCGATGAAATGTCGGAGCCAGATTTTGATTCTTTCGGTCATTATTTCAAGGTCACCAATGGATTCATCATGGAATGATGGCTATGGGAACCCCGACCTTGACGAATTCATATTAACCGAGTTCATCGCCTCGTCAGATTCGAATGATGAGGATGCTGAAATGATGATGAGCATCCAACATGAGTTGGAGAAGGAAGATGAGCACATCCTGAACTTAAGGGTTCCATAAAGGGCCGGAGATTTATTCATCGGGATAGGATTGCCGCTGCAAGGCTTCTGTACTCGGACTACTTCATGGCGAACCCAACATTCCCTGAAAGTTTCTTTCGACTTCGCTATCGAATGAGTGGAAATGTGTTCTTACGTATTATTCATGGAGCTGCGATGATGTCGGAAGCAGAGACTCTTTGACAACTCATAATATGTTGTGTAATCTTGAACAACATGATTGGCTTTTTTTTGCGGGGGGAACAACATGATTGTTGAGGATAAGGGTGAAGGGGCAACGCGCACACATGATTTTGAGAAGCCTAGAACTCAAATCCGCCTCCCGGACCAAAAGGCAGAGAGCATTGCCAACTTTCTGAAGATGCATCGACAACTGCAAGATTAACATACGTATATGCAACTTTTGAATGATCTTGTGAAGCATATGTGGGTCCACACTAAAAACCAGTGAACTTTGCTATTATTTTATCAATTATGCACTATGAACAATATTTATGTTTGAACTATGTTTGCATTATGTATTCTTAAGAACGAACAATTTGTATTTGTGTGCATTGAACTATGTTTGGTCAAGATGATCGACGTGCATGTGTTTGTATGTGTTTGATGTTTTGAAAATTAGAATTATGGTTGCAAATGGTAATATTTGAGGATTGTCCAGTCACTGTCCGCAGACGCGTCTGCGGATGTATAGAGACCCAGATTAGCCAATTACGATTGTAGATGCTGTTAGAAGAAAGACAATTGAAGACCGAAGCCTACACGAGCCTTCTTTTTTGCGACAATATAGATGAGTCTTGTTGATGCCCTTTCGGAGTGCAGGGATGAAATGTCGAACAAACAATCTCAAAACAGAAAATGTCGAACAAAAAAAACACCAGGTGTCATTTATGCATTCCTCTTCACTCGTTTTAAGTGGGCTTCAAATTAAGCAAGAATGTTCTTGCTGTTGTGCATCCACAATGTCCAAATATACGTGGAAGCTCCACTAGGTATTACCCATTTTAATTCTTCTTGGATAAAGTATTTAGTTTGTTGAGACACTATGAATTATGCTACACCTGTGAACCAAAAATACATCCTGCTCGAGTAGTATGTTCCATAAACAGTGTATCCGTGTAAACATATACTATTATTTTCAATCAGTTTTGATATCCCCAGACCCAAACACATGCATGCATGTTGCATGTTTGCGCGTGGGACTCAGAATCAGACCCCAACTCGAACCTTGTGATTTTAGCACCGCAAGGTGCTGTGACGGCCGTGGACGCAAGGCGTGCCAAATCACGAGTCATACATGCTGGGCTGCGCAAAGCCGTCCGTGTTTTCTAGCAGTAGTACGTTGGCGCGGGCTAGAGCAGTCAAGAGGCCGGCCGGCCAAGAAGAAACACGTTACGTTGCGTACGGCGTGCTACAACGCACACGCCATGAAGACGGAGAGGGAGAGAACCGGAGCCCGGAGACGAGATGCGGGCGCATTCAATTTTACGGAGGACGTACTGGTAGACGTTGGTGCAGAAACTTTATGGTCGCCTGCCCCCGGCCGCTGCCCCTCCGTCCGGCCATCACGCCCTTTATCTTCATTTATTTTTAGTTATCGATTCTTTATTCACTCCATCGTCCCGTCTTTAAGCTTGCTTTCTGTGGACCAGTGGATATCCAGAGCCATCCGGGCGGGCGATCGATGCAACGAACCAACACGACGTAGATTTTTACCAACACAACCCGAGCATATGCCAACTGCGATACACGCAGGAGTATCCAGTCTCGCTATTTCTTGCTGTACCTCAGTACCTGCATGCATGATTCTTGGACGAGTACTGTAGTTGCATGTAATAACCTAACTAATAATACATGGTCAACGCTTGTCTTGTGAGTCGTGAGAAGGACAGGACACGGCCGGGCACACAGGCATACAGTAGCGGCTAGCGGTAGGAGACTACTAGGAGTACGTGATACAAATGCCAAATTAGGGAATTAAACTCCCGGCGGTGCTGCTATCTGCCACCAGCGAACGGCCGGAGATGGTTATGGGGTTGACTCTGTGGAAGTTTGCTTCGATTCCAACTCCTACACATACTCTCGGCTGGCCCAGATACTTTCTCGCAAAACTGAAGAAAAAAAAAGTAGCCCGGATGGAGTCGAGTTGTTTGACTCTTCCCCTAGCTCCAGCTAGCTAGTCAAGTTGCCTCGCCTCCGCCAACGGCTTGAATGCAAAGGCGTCACGGCCGGCGCCGGTGGCTGCCGCCGAAACTCCCTTCAGATTAGCCGGCCGCGACAAGGGAACGCGCGCGTGCGTGGCCACCCGGCGCTGCCACACCGCGCCCATGTGTTCCAAAAACGATGCTATCTCGTCTCTGTTCAGCACCCCTTGTGTTTGTTTCTCTCTTCTAAAATGGACATAAATGAAAGTATCTGCTGGAAGGAAAAAAGGGACGTAGACCCCAAGTCCTCAACCACCATCCTCCCAACAAGACGATCGAGCAAGCGTCCAAGTTTGACCTAGGGAAGCCTCGTGCGTACGGCCGGCCGGCACCGGGCGAGCACACATGCACTGCACCGTATCGAACCTAGCCGGCCTGGTGCCACGGCCCGCAGGCAGGCACGATGGATGGATGGATGGATACACCACCGTATTGTTGCCCCGGTGCAGTTGGACGTCCATTCTGGCCGTAATGAGGTCCGCCCCGCCCCGGTGCAGCTCCAACCGCGCGCCCCAACTGCACGCACCCATGATGCGGCATCATCTTCGCCCCTGGCATCCATCCAACGGCGCGACGGCTACGCTGACGGCGATGCGTAACACGAGCGGCAGGCGCACTGTGCTTCTCTTCTGTGGCTGTGGGCTCCTGTCTCCGCGCCAGTCTCCTCCTGGCCACTTGACCACCATAACTACTACGTACTCCAGTACCCAGCCATATGATTTGACTGAATAACCACACAGTACTTTCAGCGGGAAGAGGAAACGAAATCCTTGGTGAAAGGATCCACGAACCACGATAGATAGGCTCTGTCAATCCATACTCTGCTGCTAACAGTTACCGACGGGGAACGTAGCACCGAGGCCCGCGCGAACCATCTAGAGTGTTCGGTAGAGCTCACTGACTTGCATTCGAGCGTGCAAACATTGTACGTACGTACTACTTTATGTTCCCATCGAGAGAGAAGATATCAGCCATGTTCGTGAAATGGTTAGTCCAGGCAAGCAACCGAGTGGACATCACGGAGGCCGCACGGGTCGACGAGTAAATGCACGATAGCTAGCTAGCACAGTGGTACTACTACTAGTAGGATGCATGAACGATATTTCTGATGTCCATGGTTCAGACTTCAGGTTCAGGGCGAGAGACGTTCACATGAAGGATTTGATCGAGCAGCGACGAAAGAAGAAAGTTTCATGGTACGGAGTATTATGAAAACGATCCATGGATTCCGGCTGTCTGCGGCCTGCGTGCCACTTGGAAAACGATCGGCATTCAAAGCTCAAACCCTCAACTGCAACCAGATACGCGCAGTGATTTTTTTGAGGGGTTACGTACAGTTATTATGGTACAGCGACAGTAACAGCAAAACGGGCTTTGTCTTGGAGCCACGTAGGTTTTCATCTCATGTGCATGAACCATGCATGGTCATGGGCCGAGCGAGTTGCTGGCACAGTGGCATCCAGCGAGGAAAACGGTGCCAGAGTAGCAAAACGGGTCGAACTGGAAAGGAGTGCTAGTGGCACCACCATCCGTCCACAAACAACACGTGACGATAATTCGTATAGTACACTAGAACAACAGTTGGTTCGTTCAGGTTGAGGTCTCCCTCATCCCCACAGCCGTCATGACGCGGGAGTCGCCATGCCCTACAACCGCATGACCACATGACTTTTGCGTCTCGGAAAGCTGCACACAACGATCGCATTGCCCCACGGTTTCGTTTCTCCACTACGTAGAGTCGGCATTATCACGTGCAGGAAACTACTCATCACCAGGGGAGAAGATGAGATGAGATCACGTTCAAACTTAGCACACAACCGTGGTACATTTCTTTTAGAGTAGAACCCATCCACTACCTATACTGCATGCATGATGGCGGGAAGCCCGCCTGCTTATTCAACTGATGCACGAACCCTATGGAAGGAAAAGCAAATGTAGCTAGCATGCACGGATCGAGCACCACGACACGACACGACACGTAACCCAGAAGAGGGAAGGGTAGGAGCAACCAACGATCGATCTAGCAGGTGGGCACGCACTTCTTGCACCTGACGACGCACCGGTTGGAGGGGACGTGGTCGAGGCCGGCGCCGGCGGCGTGCGACGTCTTGTAGCACCGCTTGCCGCACAGCACCTTCTTCCTCCGGCACATGTCGGCGGGGATGCAGTTCACCGACGACTTCTTCAGACGCTTTCTCGGCCCCGCCGGATGGCCGTGCCCCTTCTTCGCCGAGGCGTCCACCTCCGCGGCCGCGGCGGAGTGCCAGCCGTCCGCCCCCGCGCGGCCAGCCGATGTGAGGAAGCTGCCCGCCTTGGCGATGAGCTCGCCGAGCTCGCCGCCCAGGGTGCTGCCCTCGCGGGCGGCGAGCGAGAGCCTGCTCTCCGTGGCGATGGCGAGTAGAAGCACGACCAGGAAGCAGGACGCCTTCATGCTGGCTGCCGTGTCGATCGACCAGCTCGGCCGAACACCGTCACGGTGCGACGATGTGATGTTTTACAGTACGTACCACTTGCCCACTAGTTACTTACCGGTGCAGGTGAGGTCACGGTAACACTGTTCTCTTATATAGGCGGTCAAGTCATCATCAGCAAAGGATGCATGGGGCATGACATGGAAACGGAAACCATCTGCATGGGCTACCTAACTGCGGTGAACATCAAATGCGTGTCAACATGGCGACGAACGTAAGGGGGCGGGGCGCGATGCGTGACTGTGCGTGTGAGAAGCCGTGGACGAAACAGCAAAGGAGGTGCCATTGCCATGATTTGTGGGTTTCAGATGGCATCCTTCCTTGCAAAATTTCGGGGATGGATGCCTGATGGTGCTTCAGTTGGGCACGACAATGACACGATAATGATCAGGTCACTTGCATGAGCAGTAGCTCTCCTTCCACGGCACCAAAAGACAGGTGTACTGACAGTGGCGTCTCAGGATGCCGCTCTGATTGTGTCTGTGTAGTTTGATTGCAAGGACCTCTTAAGCTCGAGGGAAACTAAACTATGAAGATGATAAAATAAAATATTTGATTGCTTGCTTGATTGACTGATTTAAAAGATCACAACATTGTCATTTATTAGGACGACATTGAACTGTATCCCATGACCCCGGTGTCGAAGAGCTTTCAGCCATGCTTGGTGTCGAAGAGTTCCTTCTTCACTGTAGCAAGTCAAGTTCACACATACGAGCACAGGGGGGAGAGGTATAATTGCAATTTAAATATATAAAAAGTTGGTACATGATGAAGAGTCCAACTCTAAAAGGAAATTCTTCCTTAGGGAGGGAAAACTTTGCAAACGAAAACGATGTAATTAAAACCAAATTTGCGGTGACCAATGCAAATGATGTGTGTGCTATGCTCTATGCTACATGTAAGGCATAATAATACTCATATTCGCAACACTTCGATTCTCCGAATACCGAATTGATTACTGCTACTAGTACCAACTGAAGTTCAAATTTATATACCTATTTGGAGGAAATTTTCTGGATGTGAATTCACAGCGTTTTTCGGTCAGCATTCAAAGGCGATCCTTCTCCAACAAGAAGCATAACAAACTAGGGAGGAAATGAAGTCATCGTCAGGCAGATAGCAGTTGCAATGAGTTATCACTTGTGTTCACGTCATTGGTCAAAATAGCGACGATAACAGCTACTGGCACTGGAATGCCAACCATTCCACAACCATAATAACACAGCTCGCAAGCAAGTTGCAGTCGGAAACTTACAAGCGAAGGATGCCCTTCAGGCTTCAGGCCTGTGCAGCTAGATCCTTGTCCATCATCCGATTATTAGTTGGAAAGCGCCGCCCAACAGCCTGCTAGGCCCTGCACAGCTAAACCAAACAATCAGCCAGAAACACTGAAAAAACGGGGTCCGATTACGTCGAAGTCGAACTAAGAAAAGTTTGGGCTTGAAACAGAGGCCTCCAAGTGGAAAGGGAAGTCTACTGGCTCTAATTAAATGGACAATTTGTCGGAGATAGTACATGTGGGTCATTTGTGCATTAACAGCAACCAGCCTAAACATCGTGTGAACTGTCAGTTGGCAAGGCATGGCACATTTAGTTAAGAGGCCACAAATATCCCAGCAGACACAGAACAACCACCACCGTACCAGAGCTGATTAGTACTCCCTCCGTCCCATAATATAAGAACGTTTTTGACACTAATGTAGTGTAAAAAACGCTATTATATTATGGGACGGAGGGAGTAGTACTTAGTCAATGCATAATGATGTAGATACAGGAGTGCTCCTGTACAAGTGACAAGACCACTGACGAAAAAAGCCAAACAGCATGTTATGGAGGCAAATATGATCGCCTACTTTCCAGTCCACATATGCACACAATAAAAAAAAGGGGATGAACCAAATACTGAAAGCATGAAAGGCAGAACCTTATATGGAACGACACATTCGTTGCTCATAAAAGATAGGAAGCAAAGATAATCATTTTGGACAGGTCTTCGTAATTGGTGAACTTCTTTTTAAGGCCCAAGAAATCGAGAAGGTCGGCTCCCAAATCCAGAAATCTCCAATATTTGGTGCATTAACATTATGAGTGTTGGGACAACTTGACCACATCATGAGTGTCTGGATAAACTTAGTAACCGAACCAACTGAGGAAACTGGAATCGAACAGTGAAAAAAGTACAGTGCTGAAGACAATCTTGATAAAGGTACAGTGCTGAACAAGCATGAATTGTCAAGGCTTGTAAAATAACACCATTGTCTGCACTGTCATGTCAAGACACGCAAGCCTATGTTTCTCCCAGTTTGAAAATATTGGTGGCAAGACTTCATTGCTCATTGACCTAGCAAAATGGCAGTATCCATAGCTTTCTCCTGGTAACAATATTCCATGACACTTCAGAAAAACAGACCACCTCAGGTAAGGCTTCACATATTTAGGTATATTATTTTGAAAAGGTTAAACAGAGAACTACTGATCATTGGAGAAATCTGTGTGAAGCATAGAAGTAATTTACATAAATAGTGCCATCCTAGATTAAATCAAGAGTATATATACCAACATCAACCTAGTAAAAAGTTACTATCATTAGAATAAAACACACGTTCTTCCTTGCAAAAAACAAAATAGTTGATCAACGAATGTCCACATACTTATTTTAAAATAGCACAACACACATGCATCATATTTTGAAAACATAAATTATTTCAGCAAGAATCTGGCTAAGAAACCATTGGTCAACCAATGTCCAGAAACTACATTCAAACCAAGAATGACGTATCGAGTCTCAAGACCTTTATCTCAGGCCAACTTCAAAAATCAGAAATGAACTACAAATCTTACTTTCTTGAGTGCACAGAAAAACAATGTCCAACAGTAATGCTCCTCAAAAGCAGTTTGGTGGGCTAAAAATTCCCCTTTGTAAAGGGTGTTAATATGGCAGACTACTACATTTCCTTGTGCAGTTTTTAACCCCCTTAGAAATGATTCTTCAAAACTACATGTCATGAATCCATGCAATAACTACTGTTTCTAGTAAGTCATGGCTGTCAACCTGTCATACACAATGCAATTTCAACTCTGAACTAGTGTACTACGTCTAAACTCTAAAGTGATAAACATTAAATAATATCCATGTCAAACCCAATACAGAATACTTATCGCATGTCAGGGGTAAGGTAATTGAAGTAACTAGCCAGTATTAAACTATTAATATTAGGCATAAGCATAATAAACTGATGCATCCGAAGACGGTCAATCTAGAATAGAGACCGGGAGGGGAAGCAAAAGATGCAAGAGAGCCTTTTTCCATAGTTAGACTCAACCTAACACTTTACCTGAAGCCACATGATGCATGGGCCAAGAGTATACTTCTGTCACATTAGACATAGACCATGAAAGACATCACAAGATGATGAGAAACACACTATTTTTTAATAGTCAAGCTCATATTAGACGAAGATCATGAAAGACAGCACAAGGTGATGAAAAATACACTGTTTTGGTAGTCAAGCTCCAGTGCAAATAAATGCATTTTCGAGACTTCCAAAACTAGATCATAATGTCTAATCAATGCAAGCAAAATTGAACAGGAAAGTGCCTACCCACTGAAAGGCCATGACTGTTTGATCATCTAGTTATCCATCAATCACTGTGATGGGTTCTGTCCTCTCTTTTTGCTGAAAAAACATTATTCATTTTGTGGGTCTGAAAATGACAACAGTTTGAAAAATAGCATGAAAGCGGGGCCAGAATTACTACACGTACTGAAGAAACAAGACATGCCATGTTCATATGGCTATCTTGCTAAACTTTTCTCGAGCACACCACAAAGCGTGTGTCATGTTCCATTACAAGAAGAATGCCGAGAAGGGGCAAAGTACAATTATAATTAAACTAGAAAAAAAAAGACAATGCAAACACAAAGAGAAGAAAGGATGAAAAAGCATCGAAAATAAGTTAAGTTAAGTTAAGCTAAACTACCAAAAAGAAGACACAGAACGGCTGAGAAATTCACTCTCTGGCTATCTTGCTTAATTGCCAACATATACTGCTTCAACCCCATAAGTGAAAATATTCCAAAAGTAACTCAAAAGGGATACGGCTTAAAAAAGGGATAACGAAGTCTCAGCAGAAGGCTAAAAGCTGCATTTCTTATAACTGCAACATTTAACCAGAACTCACAAATAGAAGTATGTATCTCTATGGGTGAAGGTTTTCTTTTTCCTTTCCAATCGTCTCAATTTGTTCTGTCTATAGTAATTTCTTACTTCCTCCATCTGGATTTATTGGGGCCCATCATACTTTGTGTCGAATTTTGACCATAGATTTGATCAGCAAAATATAGTTGTATGCCATAAAAAACTTATTGTTGAATTTGTATTCTAAAGATGTTTCCCACGATACTGTTTTTGTGGTATATAACTTGTATTTTACTAGTTAAATATAAGGTCAAAGTTTGACCCAAAATACAAAGGGAACTAATAAGATGTAGTATTTAGTGTTATACCCACTAAGAAGAGGCAAAGTTAGTAAATAATGACAATGTGCTAATAATTTGACTTAGAGCTGTACTATAAACACAAAAATATGGGCAAGCATTTTATTGCTTAGATATTACAAATATTCAGGATAAATTACAAGTAAGGCTGTAAAGGAGGGCAAAAGGCAACTAATGCACCTCACTCAATCTCAATTTGTTGGGGTCCATCATTTTGAGCTCCCTCATCTGATTCCTCAGCACTATTCTCTTCAGCTATTCCAGAAGCCTCTACCGTTCGAGTTACCCACTCCTTGAGAGGATCCTCATTCAGGTCAAGCCTCAAGAGACCAGCAAACACGCCACCCATGAATGCAACTGGCTCCTACATACAAGGCAGGCAAAACATAAACACGTGTTATTGCTTCAAGAACGACATATTGTAAAATCCAGAGATTATTGTCAATGTGATGACTCCCCAAA